AGCACTGCTCTTGGTGTTTTCTACTCATAGCCCTGTAAAGTAGGTAGGCTTTGTCCAGCCCAGCTTGCAGATGAGGGGACTAAGACACGGAGAGGCCAGGTAACTCACCTTGTTCCTTAGCAGAACAGCTAATAGATGTTGGGAGTCGAGCACGTATAGCCTGACTCCGCTTAACCGTCATGCCATCCTCTGGAAAACATGAGGCAGTTCATTAAACCCCAGTCCCCTCCGTTAGAATTAGTAGCACAGGCACCAGTGACCATGGGTGTGTCATCAGGGAGGTGTAACCGGCTCTTGCATTCTACTCCGCAGGGTTTCAAGTAAGTAAGGTTACAGAGTAAGTGCTCAGGTTTCTAAACACCCAGTTATATTACTTTTACAGCTCATCTCTAAAATTTAGAAAGTGGAGGCCCTAAGTATAAATAAAATTAAAGCCAGGCTGAAAACCCAAGTTACTGCAGACGATTCTCTGTCGCTATTCATGAATTGTGCAAGAGGTAGGCAGGCCCACGCTCGGGAGTCTCGTGGAGGGACTGCAGGGCAGTGACGGTGAGGAGGAGGCAGGGAAGGGAGACGGGACGGTGACACCGTCGCTGGGCGGTGCTGGCTGGTCGTGGTCACAGTGTCCAGCCCCGCAGCTAACGCACTTGTTTCTTTGCTTGTTGGGTGTACAAGTCAAGCTATGAATAAGCTACCAGTCCCATTTGATGAACTATCGTATTTATGAAATAAAATAATATTTCTCTTCTGTTTTAGTTTGTGGTGATAACTGTGTGTTTGAAAGCTGGATTGGAGACATCGTATTGGACGTGGGTAAGAATTTCCTTAGTCACAACCAAGAAATGTCACATTTACTTTTTGTTGTTTTTTTCATCCTAACTTCATGGGTCAGAATTGTGGTTAATTGTGGGGTTAATTGTGGGGTCAGGCATGGAGCAGGGAGAACTGGGGATTCTAGTTTAGAAACTCAGAGTAAAACCAATTTAAGGAAGTTTATTTACCACGAGACTTCCCGGAGCCCTGAAGGTATTACTGTGCATTGTGGACACCCCTGGGCGGGGCTTCCAACTTACTGACGAGGAGTCTTTTCTTAACAGAGTGTGTGACAAGACTAGCAGAAAACCCACTGGAAAGTAATTTTCAAGACCAAAAATATTAGCAAAAAATTTGTCCTCAGACATTTTAAATATCTAGTCTGAATAAAACAAGTTCCCTTCTGGATACGTTCGTCCTGCAGTATATTCACATCCAAGTAGCGAGACCCAGGAAACAAGAAAAAAGCAGATACTCAAGGGAGACTCGACAGACGAAATTTGGACTTGACAGTCAGTGGCGCAGATTAGTAGTCCCACGAGTGTCTTAGCATCTTTCAGTGCGAGCATACAGAGCCAAAATTAAGGCAGCTTAAAGACGGTTAGGGATAAAAAAGGTACAAGGTGAGACCCACCGAAGGAAGTCGAGAAGGAGCAGTTCTAAATGCCAGCACCACGAGCGTTATAGCTGCGGTGGAAGACGTTAGCATTTAATGAAAGACCCAGTTAAAACACATTCAGTTATTTAGAAATCCCCAGGGATAATATTTTATGGAGGTGGTAAAAATCAGCAAGGGGGTGTGTGGAAGCTCCGTCAGCGTGGGGGTCCTTCGTCCACCTGGAGGTCCTTTGACTCGGATGTCCTTGCTTCTCAGTTCAGCCACATCGCAATCTGGGGCAGCATCGCACTCTGGGTGGTGTTTTTTGGAATCTACTCATCTCTGTGGCCTGCTGTTCCGATGGCCCCCGATATGTCAGGAGAGGTAATGTATGCTAATCGCTCACGATCAAACCAACCCGAAACGCTGGTATTCATCAGCGAGCCTTCATGGCTGAAGCCTGGGTTTATAGTAAAATAGTATTTGACAATTTAGAAAGCTGTTTTTAGTCCAAAGTTGAGTGATAAAAGTTTAGAGAATATTTTAAACTTGAACATTTTACTTAAATCTGACTTTTCCTTTCATAAGCGTAGCTGGGATAAGAAAACAGGGTTGTCAGGAGCTTAACTCATGTTAAAAATAGCCATCTTATTTTGTAGTTGGCTTTATTTCTTTGATAACTATGTAAGTTTAAAAAGCTAAAGATCTAATCTGTTCTTAGAAGCAATAATTAGTACATATATGTAAACTCAAAAAAATTACAGTATACTTTATGTATGTATGTACATGCAATATAATGTGTATGTGCAGTCGAACTATAATAATTCTACATAATAAAACTGAAAAAGGGAAAAATTTTTTTAAAAAGGATTATCCATCTGAAGGATGCCATTTTAATTTGACCATAGATCCACAAATGCATTTTGAATAAGAGATTTGGGGAAACGGTGAGCTTATGCCTTCAGAACCATCTGTCATTTCTTCTCTTGTCTCTGATTCTAAAGAAAAGGCTACTGTGACTAGATTAAATGCACTTTTAGAGTTGTCCTCATGACATCAGTTTGGTTTTCATTCTGAAAGGGTTGGGACAGCTGACATTTCAGCCTATCGTGGTCCACTTTCAGTTCTGTCTTTCAGTTTCTTGTTACACTGCTAAGAACTGAGTTATTAGGTGTTCGTAGGGGAGTGTCACAAGATCTCCTTTCGTTCAGAAGAGATTCCAGCAGTAGGAGGGTTTTTTATTTCAATTGCAGGAAATTTGACATAAAATGTATAAAAGAAAATGTGGAAAACATTTCAGGATTTCCTGTGACCTCACAGTAACTAGCAAATCAAGGTAACATGAGCCCCGTTATAGAACGTTGTTTTCCCGCAGTCATAGGAACCCTTTCCAGGGGTTCCATGTATTTGTTTCCCTAAGTACTCACTGCCTGAGTACCTTTCACTTTTGACAGTCTGGTTTATAGATCATTTTCCTGAAATTTTATCTGACAGCATCCTGCTTTTTATAAATTAGCAGAATGCAGACACATTAAAAAAAATCTGTGGTTAAATTTATTAGAGAAAGGCATTATGTACTATTACAGCAAAACCAGACGTATCAAGGAGCGTGTACTTCCTTCCACCCGAAGTGAAGGCTTCTTTTGAAACATGTACTGTGAACTTGAGAAAATTTACAGCATGTGTTTTGAGGAGAACAGAGAGAAAGCTGACTCCATCTCCTCCTTCCCTTGGTTTGAGTCCTTTTTTCCCAATAAAATGAAATCAAAGACTGTATACATCTGCTGATGCCACTTGGAAAGTCCAGTCCTGTCCTTCGTTTTTATTTGATGTACGCTGTCCGATTGGACGTGCTTTTCCCCAAGGTCAATTCTAACGTAACATCTTTTTCATTAGACCTCAATTTATCTCATGTATGAATGTTTTATCTTCAAAATGAATGACACAAAGGGTTTTGAAATTGAGATCGTTTAAGCAGCTGTAGCCGATCGCTTTGAAGACAAGAACAGAGTTTTTGACCACCTACTTCTAGGACAAGTGTGAAGTTTGACTGGCTTTTAGCCAACCAAACAGAATTCTCCCCTTGCCTGTAGAATTCCTGGTATTACCCAAACACAAAACGTAATATCTATCTCCTGAGATTTGCGGTGATGCTGTGTTTAATTCAAAGTGAAATGAATGTCAGTACCCCATCACGTCTCTGCTCACTTCACGTACACCCGGACGTGCTAACAGGGCTTCTTTCCCTTGTTGTTTTATTGCTGCTGATACTTTGAATGTAATGTTTAAATAGCTGGTGCTTCGCTGAAAATAGGAAGAATGGATGAATGCAGCTGTAGGCTTGACTAGCTTGTCCAAAATGTAAACTGTTTAATGTATTCAAAGAAAAGAATAATACTTTAAATTTGTGTAGTACTTAGTGCTTGCAAAGCATTTTGATATGCAAGTGTGTGTAACTGAGCCTCACGGACAACAGAAGGACAACAAGAATGCCGCTCAGATTCTCAAGGAGGGAGAGTCTACACTGACTGTTTCTCAGGCACTAGCAGTGGGTCCCTAAGGATGTTGCAGCAATACTCGATAGTCACTAGTTCTGTTACAGTCTAGTTAATTTCAGAAAGAAGTAACTACCCTTATATTTACAGTTTTGAATCTTAAAATTCTATATTTCAATCAAGAATATAGCCAGACACATTTCTGTGCTAATAGTTACATCTGTATAAGTCAGATATATAGAGATGTAATTGGCCAACTATCTTGAATATAATTTACTCGTTCATCTGTTAACTTTCATAGCAATACACTATTATAATATATATTACTATATACTACTTGTAGCAATACAGTGCTGTAGGTAACACCAGGATAAGTACGGATATCAGCGTTCCCTGACTTGACCTGTTTGTCATCCGTACAATGAAACACAGCCCAGGGCACCCCCAGAACATAATGCTCTCCCTGAGGAGTCCTGGTGTGGTACAAAGGTAACCTTCTGTCGCCACCACCAAGTGGGTCGTAAGTATCCGATCCGAGGACTAGATTCCAGTTCTTTTCTGTACTGATGTGGCAGACGTTCCTTCCAAAACTAAATAATTAAATATGTGTGTTTGGGTTGTCTAAAGGCATAGTGAGTGCCTCCAGGACAGTACAGCGTCAGCAGAGGTGGGGTGGGCAGCCCGAAACAGCAGCCCCGTTCCACACCCCCT